ATTTGCTGATGTGCACGCGGTGATGAAAAAGCTGAGCAGGAAAAGAATGGCTGAGAGATGAGAAGCTGAGCTGAGACTGTAGCATCTTACAGGTCTAAGGGACAAAACTAGAGTCTAGAGCCCACCAAGGAGGAAGGTCCTTGGTAAACACCTCAGGCTTTCAGCCGGGACTCCCTGAGAGTTTCAACCTGAGAGGAAGCCTATAATGCCTGGAGACCAGCCCTTACAAAGACTGAAACCTAGCCTCCAGTCAGCTCACTCCCTTCTTGAATGAAGATGATCTATTCCTGTCTTATTGTTTGAGGCAAATGTATGTCTTCTCTGACATGACATCATTCTGAACCTCACATCGTTTCAACTTTTTATACACATTATCAAGCATATGAAGAGACGTGACTACATGAGCAAAATTCAAAAGGAAATTAGTTGGGCACAGTGGCACATGCCTGTAGTCCCAGCTACTTGGGAAGCTGAAGCAGAAAGATCACCTCAGCCCAGGGGTTCGAGGCTGTGGTGAGCCAAGATCACACCACTGCAATCCAGCCTGTCACACAAAACACACACATACACACACAAACACACAACAAAAATCAAAAGGAAAAATCAATGATTACAAACAGATCCATAGGGCTGGGCACTCTGGCTCACACCTGTAATCTCAACACTTTGGGAGGTTGAGGTAGGAGGATTGCTTGAAGCCAGGAGACTAGCCTGGGCAATGTAGTGAGATCCCTGTCTCTACAAAAAATTAGTCTGGCGTGGTGATGCATGCTTGTAATCCTAGTTACTTGGGAGCCTGAGACAGGAGGATGACTTGAGCCCAGGAATTGGAGTAAGCTGTGATGGCACCGCTGTACTCCAGCCTGGGCGATAGAGCAAGAAAAAACAGACCTATAGAAGATACAGATTTTAGAAAGATCAAAGACAAACTTTTACAATAACTAATTCATGAGCAAGATGGGGAATTTCATCAGAGAACTAAAAACTGTAAATTAAAAAAAAGCAGCAAATTAAATTCTAGAGCCAAAAAGACATTGACTAAAATTTAAAGCTAAATACAGTAAATGAAAGAAACCTTGATTTAATAGCAGGTTTCCTATAATGGAAGAGAGCATTGGTTAATTGGAAAATAAGACAGGAGAAAATACTCAGGCTAAGTCAGAGAGAAAAGGATGGAATATACAGACAAGAGTGTACGATATGTAGGACACAGTTTAAAGGTCTAACATAGGAGTAATTGGAGCCCAGAAGGAGAGAAGAGAGTGTGGCTCAGACTGTTCCAGAACTGACTAAAGGTATCCAACCACAGATTCAAAAGAATTGTGAACCCCATGCGGGATAAACAAGAAATCTGGCATATTTAAACGATAGGAGACCAGCCTAGCTGCAGCTTGGGAGACTTGCCAAAAGGGAACATTCCTGGTAGCGAGATTGGATGCACTAGATGAGGTAGGGCCTTGCAGAGTTTAGAACCAACTACAGTTGGAATTATCAGAGGATTTTATTTGTTCGTTTATTTGAGTTGGAGTCTTACTCTGTCGCCCAGGCTGGAGTGCAGTGGCACACTCACGGCCACCGCAGCCTCCACCTGCTGGACTCAGACGATCCTTCCACCTCAGCCTTTCAAGTAGCTGGAACTACAGGCATGTGCCACCATGCCCAACTAATTTTTTTTTATTTATTGTAGAGGCGTGTTCTCACCAAGTTGCCTGGGCTGATCTCGAACCCCTGAGCTCAGGCAATCCTCTCGCCTCCTCCTCCCAAAGTGCTGGGATTACAGGCATGAGCCACTGCGCCTGGCCACATTGGCCATCTTAAGAACTATTACAGTTCGTGACCCGCCTGGGCAGCGAGACCTCATCTCTACAATAAATCAAAAAAAATCAGCCGGGCGAGATAGTGCATACCTGTAATTCCGGCTACTTGGAAGGCTGAGGCGGAAGGGTCGCCGGAGCCCAGCAGGTCGAGGCTGCTGTGGCCGGGAGCGGCCACTGCACTCCAGTATGGGCGACAGAGTGAGACTCCAACTCAAAAAAAAAAAAGAAAAAAGAAAGGGAGAATTTATTATGTTAATTAGGGAGAGGAAGGAACAAGTTGTTGTTAGTCCCCACTGTCATACAAAATTGTAGAACCTGATCCTGGAGTGTTGGAGAAGTAGATAAAATAGGAACACTGTATCAGGGATTAAGGTGTCTGACCTGTCTCTCATCTTGAGTTTTGTCCCCGGCCCTC